TCTTTTTGTCTTTCTGTAGGAGGTAAAAATTTCTCTAGGTGATTCTTATTATCATCCAACTACAGACAACAATCTGCCATGGGTTGCAAAGGAGCCCAAACACTGGGGCTTGATCCTGACAGTCTTATTTCATGGCTCATCTCTAACCCAGAGATAGCACACCTATCTCCTAGGCCTACGAGATGGACTGAAGCCAGATCCTACTGCAGTGTCTCCCACAGATACAATCTTCATTAACCATCAGCTGCCTATTCTTTTACTTTATTATTTTGACATAGTTTCATGCACCTTGTTTTTGTATCAAATTCGAAGTATGTTTCTACTCCACAACTTCCCTCAAAATTCAGGGCAAGATCTTGCTGTAGATTTTCATGGGGATTTTATGGAATCAAAAGCTCCTTCAGAAAATGCCATTCTTAAATGATGTTTTTTATTTCCTTGGTCACCACACTATTTCTGAAGCAGATAAGAGCCCTGAGGATCTTAGGAGTAAAGTACTGTCTGATTTAAGGTGATGAGAGTGCACGTAGCCTGGTGCGGGTTGCCAGCAATATTCAGAGAATGTGTATGACTCATTTCCGTGTATTTTGAATGGACTTAAAGGCTGTTACCATTGAAAGCCCAGCCCTGAAGGTCCAGTAGCATAGACTGAACTGTCTATCTGGACCTCACAGTCTTGAAATTGAAATACTGTCCCCAGGAGACTGTGGGAGGTCCTACTGACTATACCTCCTGCAAGACCATAGGGAAGACTAGGTCTGCCTACTTGTGCTGTACAGCCTAAGATTATCCATAGAAGAACATGGGATCTGAGAGGCCACAAGCCATCAGAGGACCCAGCCACTCTTCCCTACAATCTCTCCAAGTCTTCACTCTGCTTTGTAGCATGGAGCTTGTGTTGACGAAAACAAGAGAGGACATTAAAGCCTGTTTGTGCTGTATTCACATTTTGTGAATCCAAGTCTCTACCAAGGTCCACTTATCACAACAAAGAACTTGCTCCTAGCTCAGGAAATAGTCTATAATCAAAGGAAACTCAGGAAAGGCATTACATTTTGTCCAGCACAATTCTGTGTCTGTGATTATTATGAACATTGGATAAATGTTTATTAAGCATTAACTGTGAGCCAGGTACCACACTAAGTATTTACATGTATCATCACAATTAACCCTCCCAGTAACCTTTGGGGGTTCTATCATCTAAGATACTGAGAGGGGGTATTGAGCACATGAGGTAATGTGGTTGGTAAGCCACAAGTAACTAAATTAGTCTCCAGGCTAAGGGCAGGTAGCATGTGGCATAACTGACTCAAAACTATCTTTTATTCCCTTCAATAAGACTGTGCCAGGTTTTCAGGCTGATCTAGCAAATGTACTGATTAAAATAAAATAAAATAAAATAAATCATTTCCTTTAAAAAGTCAAATATTTGTTTCTTTTCATAAAAAAGCTTTTATCTCTCTTCCTAAATCCTGTTCCTTTTTTCAACTTTTTATTTTTAAGAATAAATATTATTGTTCTATTATTTCCATTCCTCCTAGGCCCCTTTCATTTCCTCCCATGCTCCCCCAACTCCTTCTCAAATTCTTATCCTCTTCTTTGATTATTGTTGTTACATATACACCCATACAACTGTAAACACATATGCATACACACACACACACACACACACACACATATAATGCACTGAGCTCATTTAGTGGTGCTCCTGTGTGCGTATGTTTAGGGTTGCCCACTTGGGATTAACTAACCTCAGGGAGCTATTCCTTGGAGAAAACTGATTCGCTCTCCCTCAGTATCCATTACTAAATCCTGTTTCTTAAAATGATAAAAACCAACACTATAAAAATTATAAATTGCCAGGCCTGGTGGTTCACACCTTTAATCTTGGGACCTAGGAGGCAGAGGCAGGAAAATAACTACTTTCCTTGGGTCTTCAGCCAATTTTCAAAAGCAGGGCCATTTAAAATTCTCTGTACCCAGATGGACATCTTCTTTCTCCATCTCCACCCCCAACTTCTGCCACCTTAACACCTGTTCACTACCCTTACTGTGATCAGTTGTGCTTCTCCACTGATGAAGCTAAGGATCTATCAGACAACAGAGAAGTCAGCTGGGGACATAGCTTGAGAGTCACACTAGAAGCCTGTCCTTAGCATCCAGCTCAGATTAGATACTGGTTGCTCAGAACAAGTAGAAAAATCATTTTTTTAATCCACTAATTTAGTTACTTGTGGCTTACCAACTCACATTACCTCATCACAGTGATGGCTCTTCTTTTCCCACCAGTCAATGGGCTGGGAGCAAAACCAAAGAGTGGCCTGAGCTTGAACATCCTTGAGGTCACAGCCATGCTCCCTGGAGGAGCTGGGGGGGACCAACCTCCCTCCTGCCTAATAACATGAGACCTTTCTTTGCTTGTGGTTTAGATCTTAATGACCTCAGCCTTTCACAGGAAGTTTGCCTCTTGTCTATCCCTTGACACAAACACAAAATAAAACACAAAGTAATGAAAACAAATATAATTTAAATGTAAAATAAAACCTATCTACTGGTGTGTGGATACATGCCTGTGTCTCATTGGCATGCATCAGATTGTACTAAATGGCAGGACTTTCCCAAGGGAAGATAACCTCCACATACCGCTACAAAAGCTTTATTCCCCACACTCTGCAAATTATTTAACTTAAACACTGCTTGAGATGACTCTCCGAGGGGAAGGGTGTTTTCCCAGATCCATCTTTAATCTGTTGGAGTATATATGCACGTGTGCAGGCAGAACGGACTTAGAGCTGTCACTACAATGTCTACACATGAGCTTCAGATTGCAGAGCCAGAAGCTGAAAATTGCATGTAAAACTTGGAAGATGAGCAATTGCACATAGAATCCCTCTTCTTTGGGGTAGTAAGAAAATGTAGGCAAAGGTTTAGTTGTCTTTCTCCTACCCCCAACACTCTGCAACTCTTAAGCAATTGCTAAATATATTAAAGGAGTGTGTGTGTGT